CCGTTAGAACAAAATCAACCCCAGAAACGGAGTTTCCATTCTCTCTTCACACGACAGTGCGTGCCTCAAACGCTCCCTCGTCGTGGGATCTAGCATGAGTGAGAACTATTTTCCGTCCAATCCATCATTTCCCGCAACTCTCACTACTCGGATGTAACTCCTTTATTCGGGGCAGCACGGCACAATCCTACAAGCAGTAAATTAATCAAGCTTTATCGTTCGCCACTCCATAAAAGGCATTACTCGAGTACAGGCTTGGCCAAATTTCCAACGCCCAAACTTTGTAAAACAGCATATGGATCACAACTCGAAACAGCCCCATCATCTCAACACGCATACGACAGTGGATCCATTTCTAGTTAGACACATCTCCCCGTCCCATTCTAAAAGACTTGGCGTGGGAGCTCGCACCAGAGGGGGGTAAAGCCAACCTAACTCCGTACCCCTCTCCGCCAGCAATCTCCTAAGGCCACAGCGGCCTCGGCCCATAGTGGCAATTGCGCTAATTGCCTTTCCACCGATTAGCGCCTGTTCCTAATGCCCATACTCAGGAATACTCTCTCTTTCTAAAGATTCCAAACTTGCCGAATCCAGCAGCAGAGGATACCAGGTTTAGGGAACGGAAATCAGGTCGGATCGGAGTCCCAGAACATCATGTCCGTCTCCAAATCTACCGTGGCTATTATTAGCGGAGACTGACGTCCATCCCATACGCCAAACAATTCGTGACTCGGGAAACCCGTTAAGAATCAAGGGAAGGGCGAAGGTAGATTGAATTTGCGCTAATGGTGGGCCAATTTAGGCTGTGCATTCCCCCTCCCTCCTCAGAATCGCACCACTGAGACACGAGGATGAGGTAGTATTTATTCACCACTCATAGAGCTCCGAGATCCCCCTTTTCTCAATCCACCTGGTACGTAGAAGCTAACCTAAAGTCGTCACTAAACACGCCCTGAGATACGTCGTCAACCATCCCATATATCATATGACCCGGGTAAGCGGCACAAGTAGTATAAAATCTTGGTGAATATGTGGATCCTAGGGGCAAAGGTACACTAGGGAAGGCCTGAAACTCCACCACAAAGACGGTGAATTCCTATTTCAGTAAAAGGGGTATTCGCTCTCCAACGATGAATACACGATTTAAACCGGCAGGTGATCATTACCATAACTTCCGTTTCCCCCCGCCACTGCAATTTCCCCTACAGCTCAAGATCGTCCGCATGCTTGCGAGGCGCCTGTTCGATCCATCAACTCACTCTCTAAACATTACACGACAACAAAAGATCCCACTACTCCGTAAAAGCCATGGTGCCACCCGTTATTGTTGAGTGTCCCTTTCGTCGCTATTTGATAAGGACATCAGGTGATATCCCATGGAGCACATGTAGAGAATGGTAACCCTGACAATGTGCGACTGCGCCCAGTCCTCTCCCCAACGGTATTGGATAATCACTAGACCAAAGCCCCATTGACCACAGCAGGAGAGGCGTTCGCGAAACGAGCTTCCCACAGAGATGACTTTTTCCCGTGTTCGAAATATTCCTTAGTTCCGGCACGCCCACGTGTACAACAAGCATAAACTAACTTATCACGCGCAGCGCCAGAAACTAAAACAAGTACTAGTACATCAGCCAAGAGACAATTTTACCCATTCAGTAGCCAGACCCGTACCACAGCATTGGACTCACCTTCTCTCACTCGCTCGCTACTGAATGCGAACTCTAATCCAATCCATCGCATCCCCAAAACCCGTCCTGTACCACAAGCCTAATAATTAGCATACAAGGACCAATCACTAATCGCCCCCCCAACCATTTCGCCAGTTTCCCGGTCCCAACCCTGCGAGCCCCCACCACGCTGTCCCCCCACGCCCTAGTATCACCCCCCTTCCTCTTCCCCGATAGGAGCAATTCACAAACGATCCACCCATCATAGTCCCACCGCAGGTGCAGAACACATCCCCGCTAGACAGCCGCCAAGAGGACGATGATCTTGACTTGCGGCAGTCGGAGAAACCAGTACAGTGCCTGTACAACTCTTGCCTGCATCCCAGACAAGTGGGAAATTTTTCCTCTCCCCCCCGCCCCTACCCCCTCCCCCGCGCGAAGATGGCACATCATCACCCCCCTGGATCGGCGAGAATAAATGCAATGGAGTGCCGAGACAGGCAAAGGGCCCAGGTGGAATGCAGTACTTGTACCTCCAACTCGTGGTGGGAGTTGGCGCAACCACTGGCTATGTCGTGCCTGTACAAGCATGCGGGTGTTTGTGTTGTCGGCTGGATTAATCCGAGGACTGAGACTTACACGGTACTGTACTCCACGAACGAGCGCCGTACCGCCGCCGCCCCTGCTCAACAATCTTAAACCCTTAATGCCAGCAAGGTATCATAGTACTGTACTGTACCTGTACCCCCCCCGTCTACCGGGCAACTCGAGTACCGGTATCTGCCACAGGCTCTATCATGCGTTCGAGATGTTCGCCATCCAGACCCAGACAAAGATTGGTTGGGTTGACCCTCCGCGTATCCCGCCCTCGCTTCTCCAAGCGGAGATCCGCAACGTCTCTCAGGGGGGAGGATGTCAGGAAAGAAAAAGATGGGCGGACGAGTATACCAGTAGTAGATCTCAGACATCAAGCATTCAATTGAACATACTCGTACACGCTCCCGTCCGACGTAATCCGACATGAAAAACGTACTGTACAGTAATACACGCATCGTACAAATAAATACCCACAGCGTCGCAAAACAGGATAGAACCTGCACGTACAGTATACCGCCGCTCATTTCCAGCCTCAGAATTCCTCCTCCTCCCTTCCACCCCCCCCCACCGCTCTGTCCGAGACGTCCGCATACACGAACGAACACATATTCACCACCACCACTCTCGGTAGTTTCTTTCCGTAGCGGAAAAAATAGAAAGAAAAAAGAAAAAAGAAAAAAGAAAAAAAAAAAAAAAAAACACCAAGTCAAAAAAAAAGGGGGTAAAGAAAAAAAAGGTCTTTATTTTCGAAAATAAAAATAAAAATAAAAATATCATCCCTTTTTTTTTATTTCATGCGTGGTGTGTACCGTGTAGAGTATGATACATGTAGGGGTACAAAGTGCACCACGATATTATGGATGGATCAACCCGGACGCCGACCACCTCGAAAAATCTATCATGTACCAGTACTTTACAAGTACTCGTACAGTAATCGACCTGCGGAAAATTCATTAACCCCGGCTCGCGCACTTTGGTATTACCGCAGGGAATGGGATAGGAAGGGGGAGGGGAGGAGGGGTTTCTCCGAGCTGCACGTGTTACGTCTTATTATTCCCAAAGGATAGAGGCTCAATTGGCATAGAAGAAAGCCAGAAGGGGAAGACAGAGAGAAAAAAACGAGTTATCTGCCGAGTGATGTCTTATGAGTATCCGCCACCCGGACAAAACAAGAATTACTTATTGCGCATTTTTTAATCTCTATTTTATTCCCTCGTTCACCTTTACACCTTTTTTTTTGTCAAACCTGTTTTCCAATGGATGATCGATGTGAAGGGGTATCATACCGCTAGGAAGGAGGAGGAGGGAGGGATATAAAGTTAAAAAGTGGCCGGGTAGGGTGGTGGTGGTGGTGGGCAAGTGTAGATTACCCGGCCGAACCAGGTCAAGGTGGGGTTTGCCCGGCGAGTTCTAAAGCTTCAATTCCTGTTTACACACTTCGGACACTTCTGCAACCCATCAGCGGTATTCCAAACAGAGCTTGTCCATCCTAACATTCCCTACCCCACCACTACAAGGACAATTCGAAGACGAAAAGAAAAAACCACACAGCCCCCCCTCCATTCTTCCCTCTCTCTCCCTCTCTCTTTTTCCTCTCTCTTTGTACCAATATCCCGTACGACCCCCCCTCCCTCTTCTGTCTTTCTTTCTTTCCTTCTTCCTTCCTTTCTTTCCCTTCCCTTCCCCCCGGGCCAACCGCAAAACAAAAAAATTGACCCGCCCGGTTGTTCTGTTTTTCCCCAATTCCCAAAAGGGGTTTTTTATTGATTGGAACGGGTGGACCACCCGCAAACCCATTTTTTTTAAAAAAAGGGGGGGGAGGGGGGTTTAAAATTACCAGTTTATCCCCCCCCCACCAGGGAACCCCCGTAATTCACTCGCCCCCTAAACAGAAAAAGCAGGACAATTTTCCCCCCAAAATTCGAAATTGGCCCAGCTACGGGCTCCCCTGGGGGCCTTTCGGGATATAATGGGTTTTCCCCCCGTGCGGGCAGAAAATATAAAAGTTTTGGGGGGATTAAAGGGGGCTTTTTTAGCCCTTTTTTTTTTTTATTTTTTTTTTTTTTTTTTTTCCCCTCCCCTCCCTTTCCCTCCCCTCCCCTTTATTTCGTTTCAGTTTTTTCCCTTTTTTTTTTTTTTTCCCCCCCCCCCCCCCCGGTATCATACTGGGTCCTATTTTATTCTATGGCTTCTTGGTCTCATGCCATGCCATGCTATATGCCATGCCATGCGTCGCGTTGCGTTGGACTGAACTGGACTGAACTGGACTGACTGTTGTGGTGGGGGTGGGTTAGATTGATGGCTGCAGGGAAGGTGCTCGGTGAACCTTTTGATCCTAATACCGGTACTGGCGGGGAATGATGGTGATTATGACTGAATGATGATGGCGATGGAAGGGGCTGTTCTTGTATAGGTACACCATTTTGGGCCTTCGCTTTGCTTTCATTCATTTATCCATTCTTTTTTGTCCGGGGAAACGGACCGAAGGCTTCGTGATGGATGAATGGAACGGATGGTTTCTTACTTTTTTTGTTTTTCTTTCTAATAACTGTTGCTACTGCCTGCTGCTACCAATATCACTTACACGTGGGGTCCCGGGGGGAAAGAAAAAGAAAAGAGGGAAAAAGAAAAAAAAGCAGAACATTGGAAACAATCCACATCAGTGAAAAAAGTAATTCAATGAGCGAAACGTAGATCGTAGGCTACGCGTTGGAAACTGAAGGTAACAACAATAAAAGTAAAAGAATGAAACGGATAAACAAGAAATATATCACATTCGTAAAAATAATGCCATCCCCCCCATCAAATACTAGTAAATAGAAGTTAACCTATATGCGAGAAGAGGATGGGAAACAACATCTCTTCTCTCCCAGAAAAATTACCCCCAAAATACCACCGTTCTATTTAAGGGGAGGGAACAGATGAAACAAAAAGACGTCGAAGAAATAGAGCCTCATGAAATATATAGAAACCGCCATTGTCAAGAGAGCAATCCAATGAGCCAAAGAACGGGGGAACAGAGCGGAAGCAACCCAGTCAGACCAGGTAACGGGTAAGAAAAATATACACTCAAAATCTCCACGAAAGACCACATATCCCCAGCCGGCCAACCACTCCAAACAAGCACAATTAACTACAGTGATACAAAAGTAAATCGGAATCCAGCCCCGTTATTTGCCTACTCAGGGAGTGAAAATCCAACCGAAAGAAAATCTCCTGACCTATAAGCGTCCTCTACGCCGCACAAAAGGAATTGGAAAAACACCTGTGTACAAGATATAAGAAATAAACCAGTCATGAAAACCACCGGATTAAAGAGACATCGTGAGCCATTCCCATTCCTGAGTACCTGAACCGTTGGTGGTTGGGGTAATGACGGCAGGAGCTATTGGGGTATGATGAGTCGTGTTGTGGAGGATTGAGGGGGTGGGCTGCAAGCTTGGTGGTATAGACTTGTCTTTCTTCTTGCTGCCATTAAGTGATTCATCCATGGTATCACCATCTTCACTGCCTTGAAACTGGTTATGAACCTTAGAATCCCTTCGTTGTCGCTTAGGTGCCGCAGCAAGTGGCCGTGAAACTGGGTTCTGTAAACCGTTCTTAGGGGGCGCTGCTGCGATCGGTATAACGTTTGACTTACTGCCTTGCCCAGAGGTGCCCATCGTTTGAATATTTGTCGGAGTGCTAACGTTGGAGCCATTGGATAACCCAGATGGAGGTGATTCAGACCCGGCAAGGCTCTTGGATTGAGTTGAAATGGGTGTTGTCACCGGGGTCTGTACTAGAGAGTTTTTCCGTCCAGTCTTCTTCGAAGACCGAGTTGATGCACTTCCCCCTACAGGTAATGAGCTGCCACTGCCTCGATTGCGCTTTTTGATAACATCTGTCTTCAAAGATAGCGGGCGCACTACGCCGTGTAACTTGAGGAATAGTCCACACGCGTTGCAAAGTGGGTGTCCCTCAGGATTTCTCCTCCATAAGGGCGTGGTTTGAGTGAAGCAATTTGTACAGGTAGTCGGCAAAGCGTTTGCACCACCTGCGGCTCCATTCTTTTGGCCGTCTGGTGTCGCAGGTCGGGACGGCTCCGCAGAGCTAAATCCAGATTCTGGTGGTGTATTCGGGCTAGACTGGGCTCTTTGGCTCATGGATGATAAAGCTAGCTGAGGGGCATTCGGTGCCGAACTCGTGCGGGCGATCTTCTGTCTTCGGGCTCCATTCGGATCCTGCACCCGGTTCCGCATGTCGCTCACCGAAGCGGTGATTGAATGCGACCGGCTATGGTTCCCACTACTAACGTTCCATTCCTGGGGGGAAGGGGCAGTCTCAGCTCCTCCAATCCTAACGGTCTTTTGTCCCCCAGGGAATCGCCCATTGGCATACCGAGGATTCTGCCCCGGTGCACCGCTTCGCCCCCATTCTCCTCCGAATGGTTGGATACCTGAATGCATATCCATGGAGTGATCGTCCATAGAACCTAAATCTGTCTGAATTTGCATACGGTCGAGTTCGTTACCCTCGTCCTCGTAGTCCGAATCAGCCCCAAAAGAAAAAATATTTTCATTTCTCGCCCCGGTAGATCCGGAAGACTTCGTGAGGCTGAAATCCGCCCTCAAGACCTGGGATGGGTTCACATGTTGAAACCCACTATACCCTCTAGGCGACGGGAACCCTGAATGTGGAGCCGAAGGGTTGGCACTAAGAACAGGATCGTGATAGTAGTAGTCACTGGAAGCAAGGCTATTGGGCAGAGTGCTATTACGAGAGCTGTGCCCGAAACCAGGTATGGGGTGGCCTTGCACCCGGCTTTCCAGGTTTACTTGGTCAAAGAAATTGCTGCCATGGCTTTCGGTGAGAGGGTGTGGGGTAGATACAACTGATTGATTGGCTGAAGCCGGTGGTGAATAAAAATCATTCGAGGCTACAGAGGATGCAATCGCTGTATTGTTGTACATACTCGACGAGAAAGGGCCGGTTGTGAGAAGCGGCGAATGTACCGGAGAGAACGTAAAGTTGTTCTGGTACGGTCCAGCAGAGGTGAGGTACTCATTAGAATCGACAGAGGTGTCGAGCGAAAACGGATGGGACTGGGATTGGGAAAGGGAGAATGAATGGCTATCATGATCCAGCCGATAGTCCCCAAGCTCAGTATCCGGGTCAGGATCGTTAGGGATCATGATACCGGTGACAGGTGGAACATGTGGGGAGAAGTCAGCGGGCCGCTTTGGTGGCTACGGGAAGGAAGAAAAGTTCAGTCAGTCAGTGCCTTTATATACTCTTCAAGGGTAACCCTCTTACCCGACGTTCATCCACACTGGTTTTCCGTATCCTACGCTTAACATAGTCAAACTCTCCACGATTAGTATCAAAGTGACGTTGGGGAGCCGAGGCGGGAGGCAAGTGGGCGTTAATCATCAGTTCCTTCTCACGGCTTCCTTTTATTGGGATCGCAGAAGCCGTAGCGTGAGAGGACGTGAGAAGGTTGTCACTGCTTGGAGAATGTGCGATCCCACAACTCGATACTCCTCCGGGGGAGCCAACCATAGATGAAGGTGAGGTAAAGGTCAGATCCTCCATAAACATGGAGTCAGACTCTGATAGGGTACTGTACTGTGCACTGGCGGATGAAGCAGGTTTGCTATTTGTTGACCGAGCTGCGGCAGATATTCCCCCAATTTTGCCGTATGATGCGTCTTTCGCCGCTCTGCTTTGACCACATCAGACTTGAGTTCAATGATGCAATGCAGTGAAACATAATCCGTGACGGCCAAAACTTACCGGGCTTGCATCTGTTCCTTTCGTAATGTCATTGCCATCATTCTCCAGGTCAAATTCTCCATACGCTCCGCGTTTGGGAGCACGTTCTTTTGTTTGCTATACAATTTCCATACTTGAGTTGCCAGGGGGTCCTTTTTTTGCATGTCCTCCGGAGACTCTTCGGGTATCTTGTGGACACGGCCGAGGCGCTCGAAGGAGCCACTGAGAAGCTCCTTCCGAGCAAAATACTGCGCTGTAGAAAGGTCCAGATTGACTGTTGTACTGTCGCTAGAATTCTCCCGAGACGAACCGGTTTTTGACGTGGAATCTGGGATGTTTTGTGGAGAAGGTATTGACTGTTGTCGGCGAAAATGCGGAGAAGCTGTAGAACTGGCGGTCGAAGCAGCAAAACCAATCTGGTGCGAATTCGAATGCAACAAAGGCTCCCTAGTGGCACTCACACCCACTCCCCCACGTTCATTGAAAGCCATGTTCACCCACAGAATTCGCAAAGAGATGCGGCAGCCCCAGAATTCTGTTTTGTTTTTTTTCCTTTCTTTCCTTTTTTTCACTTTCCTTTTTCCCTTATGGTAGGAGGGGCAGGTGGAAATGGAGTGGTTGTGGAAATGGGAAGATGGAAAGGCAACAATATGTGACGCAGGCGGTGTCACGAAACAGAAAGCCCGACGCTGACCGCTAGGAGAAGTTTTGCGGGATGGCCGCAGTTGAAGTGTGGTGGGGGGAACTCTGTGTGTGGTGCAGGGGACGAATGAAGAAGAGTCCTGAGTACCCTGTCTGGGTCTATTCACCACTTCCCACCGTGCTACCGCGATCTGTTTGGAGAGTACCGGTAGACAGAGGTCAAGGTATGAATCTTGCGCACTTCTAAAAGATGCAAGTTTGGCCGTCGCAAGATGCACCGAGACGACTGTGCACAACCGTAGCAATCAATAGAGAACCTAGCAGCCGAGCGAGAGAGGGTGGTGTGCGTATGGATTTGGACCAAGGGTTGCAAAGCAGGGTGAAGAGTACTGTATGGAGGGTGAGGGTGGTGCCAATATCAGACCCCCGCGGCGGCGGTTCTGACCCAAAGCACACCGCCTTTCCGCGGCTTCGTTTTCTGAATTTCCTATTTATTTTGCACTCCTGCCGAACCAAACGTCAATTACCGTATTAAAGGGCGGTGGCCGAAGGGATAGAAGATTAATAGGTCGAGAACACACTGCCTATGGTACCCGTTTCTTTATTGCTTGTTCGTCGGTTGCAGCTCTGTTACCGAGATAAGCGACCGTAAATAGATGACCAAGTCGCAGGGGAGCAGAGCGCGGGGGTCACCATACGCACACATGCAATTTTTTGGGGGGGGAATAATTCTGGCCACAGAAAGTCTTAAAAGAGTAAGTACGGTTGAAATATAAGACTGGATTTGCAAGGCAACGATATTAAAAAAAAAAAAAAAAAAAAAAAAGGGAAAAAAGGGAAAAAACAAAAGAGGACCCTTCTCCAACAATAACCAGGAAGGCAGGAACGCACCGACTGGGATGGTCAGAGGGGGAAAGAGGGAGGGGTAGGATTATTGAATTGTAAGGGCAAAGAAGGCGTGAAAGAAATATTCTAAAGTAGCAGAATACAGAATGGCTTCGAGGCGTGCAGGACATGGGAAGCCTACCCAAAAAGCCGGAAGGAGGAAATAATATCTCCAATGGAGGAGGGGGTGGCCGACAAACTGGACTGAGGTCGAAGCTGGGCTCGCCCTCGAGCAGTGACGAATCTCTCTGGGTGTGGAATGGGGGAGGAGACTCTCTCACAGACAACCCCCGCTTGTCTTACCGTCGACGGTTTCGCCGCAAATTGAACCCCTGGGAACAGCGGACAGAACCTACCACTTCCCTCAAATGTTCCGGTCCAAAAAAGTCAAGACCTGGATTTCAAAACTCTCAAGCCGAGCTTGCACAGTAGGGCAGAATTCAACGCTTATTTTCGTCGGGTGTTAAGGGGGGGGTAAGAAGGGAATAATCGTAAACTCTGATGATGAACAGTGGAAATGGTCAAAAGGTCGACGACGGGCAATTCGGTTGTTGTCTAGGTGTGGTGGGTACTGTTGGCGTGCGATCACAAGCCAAAAAAAGGAGGGGAGGGGAAAGATGGAACTTTAGAGCGAGAGTGGAGAGAGACACGCAAAAATTCCACAACAATGAATTGAGAAGAAGAAAATAAAGCTAATTATCGACACTCTAACTCTGGCTGTGGACGGACTGCTACATCTAGAAGCGATACCACTACCCGACAGACGGCTAGCCACACATATCTGCAAGCCCGTGGTAAAAATCCGAAAGCCACTGCTCGAAGCTCTCGCTCTCCAGTGGTCCAGTCACTGCGGACACAACGGACACACTTACGGTATTTACCCCCTCCCCCCTCCAACATAATCCGGCAAGTGTTGTGCTGTGTCCTTTCTCAGTCGAATTGGAAAACGCCTGCTACACTCTGCATCATCTCTGCACAGTTCAACAACAATTATCATACACCTTCCCTTCCTCCACCACTCTACTCCACCACCATCCACCCCCTCCCGTTCTCCCTTTTTTTCTCTCTCTCTACTTTTTACTCGAAGAGGAGTATTGAGCTCATAATATGTTATTCGCACTAAGCGGGAATACGGAGTATCGGGTTTCTGACCGTTGGAGCGGCCGCGCATGGGGAAAAGGGAATCGTTGTAACGAGCGAGCCGGCAAGTGTCCTCACTATGTTCCAGTACTTGTACTGTACTCGAGTAGGCTGTCGCTCGCCTGCAATAGGGGATGTGGCTCGCAATTACGACGCCACGCTTGATCCGAACGCCGACAATGAGCTTCCTTATAATAGCGACGGACAGAGAATCATTGACAGAGACAAGGCACTAGTTCACAACCGTGAGGGAGCAGCTCCATCAACACCATCGCTCCCATCGGATTCGCCCTAGACCCCTGCGCAGCAACATGCAGGCGCAAAAAATCCTAAGTTCTTCGAGAGACACACATTGTGGTCGAAAAGCAATGTTCGTACGGTCCGTTTAGATGGCTAATCGTCGGTCGGTGCCCTCCGTCTTTGATGCGTCCCATTCCCAGCATTATTCTGACCATTTCTCTCGCTTTTTTTTTTCTCTTTTACCTGACTCACGCCTCCACGCCTCTACCCCCGTTGCAAGGAGCGCTCCCCGCTCAGTTAAACCCCCCACGTTCATAACCCTTAAATGCAATTTCATGATTTGCCACACCACCATTCTTCCAATGTGGAGGGGGGGTACGGTATTTTAACCGCCCCTTGTTGAAAATCCACTGTGTCCCTGTCGTCAGAGTGCTTGTCTGGATTAGCGTGGGGGAAACACCTTCAATCACGCGTTGGCTAAGCGCCAAGAAGAGAGAGGAGCTGTGAAAACACCAAAAATGAAATCACAAAAACCGACATTATGGGAATGATGCAACAAAGTTGTGTAAACCTGAGAATTTCGGCCGGCATCAGTAGGAAGGAGCAAAATATCATATCCAGAACAAGGCACTGTATATTCGAAAGAAGTAGGTAAGATGGGTAAATTTCCGTTTCGCTAACAGCCCTGGAACATTATTAATTCTGCAAGTGATGTTTCGTGCAGAAAATATTCACCCAGCTACTGGGCTCTGCTTCCATTTGTTTTTTCTTTTCTTTTTTCAAACCTGGATTTTTCCGTGACAGCTCCTCACATGAAGACTGCAATGCAAACAAGCCCTCCAGGAAACACCACTCAGTCAGAGATTTAGGGGTGTCCATCTAGCGAACGAACTAGAGTACGGTATGGTATTGATGCCCTAGGTTGCGACCAAGATGGTCTCTGTCGCGAGTATGCTAGTGTCATGCAACCTAGTAGGTGATGGAAAATTTCAGCCATGCCTGAGCCAAGTGGTTCGATTCTTAACCCGTTGCGATGTTGGTTCGCAATAGAGTCGGAAAAATACGGAGGGGTAATTAAGCGATAGTCCACCTCCTCCGGATGTGGATTCTGCGATTGGAGAGATCTAGGCGGTGAAAGAAAGAAGGAGAAGTCAAGTGGTATGGCTAGGAGCAACAGTACATGGTGGCACTCCAGCTATTTCCTCCGAAAAGCAGGTCTTCTTAGAGGGGTGCTGACAGCGATGATCAATTGGCCCAAAGGCAATTTTCGACTCGTTCCAAAAGAACACCGTCCTCATCCTGGACAAGACGGGGAAACACGGATGAACTATTTTTCCGGACTTCAAGTCCAGAAGGCGGATTTGCGCAAAGCCACAAAGAAGGCACCACCACTATGGTGAATGAGAGTTCAAAGGTTGAAGACGATGCCGCGTCTGGGAAGTATGGGACATATAAAGGGTTGGCTTGTTATGGGCGAGCTTTAGACGAATGACGTGAGGTTTACTAGCGGCGAAAATCGTTGGTCATAAGATCTGGTGGTGATTCGTGAAGCACGGGAGTTAAGGGTTGCTGCAGGCACCAAAATAAGCATAAAGAAGCTGTGGGTTCGGCGGGATGCACACGACGAGGCACTATACCGCACATAAATGTGGAGCAGGATTGGTTCGAGCGGATATCTGGGCGACGGGTGGAGGAAGCAATGATCGAAGGAGGCAGGAGAAGTTTATAAAAGGCACGAAACAAGAGGGAAACCCTGAGAAGAGTTATCGGGGGGTGGTTGTATCATCGCTGAGAATCGTGTTCCCGTCGGTGTAAAGGATTCGCAAGTGCGAAGGGCAATTACGCGACGATAGGAAAAAACAGAGGTGCAAGAGATCGATATCGGGTCCAAAGAAATGAGAAGAAAAAAAGAAAAAAAATGATAAAGGAAAATTACTGGCACAGAAACCAGTAAACGGATAGTACTCGGTACGCGGGAGTAGCAAAGAAAAGGAAAAAGGGTTTCACATCGTCAGGACTCACGAAAAGGGATGGGAAAGGGAGGGAAAGAGAGAAGGAGAGGAAAACAGCTGCAAGAAGTAAGTTGTTTTTTCCTTTTTTTTTTTAAAAAAAAAGGGGGGGGGAGGAAACTATCAATCATTCAATAAATGTGGGAAAGGAGGAACACAAGTACAAAAAAATCGAGCACTTTTCTACCGTACTGCTTGTATCGCCGACGGACGAAACCGAGACAGCACCTCTCTCCTAAAGAGAAATTTAATCGTGAAAGGAGAATTTTTCCTATCATGCGCACAGATATACGTTGTGTTGTATCGCGTCGCGGTGTCAGTATCTCTGAAGGGGCTGAAAAACCGTTGGCAGCGTTCTCCCTATCGCAGCTGACGTTTACGAATCATATCTTCGAGGGGGATCTTTCTATTTCTGAATCTGGAGGGCATGGAGAAAGATAAGGTGCAGCAGGGTACCTTTCTGGGGAATGACCCTTGCTCCCCCCCCCGCAGAGGAAGAGAGAGGCATTGTACGAGTAGATGCCAGATTGAGAAACATTTCCTAGTTGCATCAATGACAATTGCTGGGGGAAAATTATGTGGTCACAGGCCCACGACGACACAAGGCAGCAGAGATCGAGAGATTCTATCCCGCCTCCTACTTGGCTGGCCTCTCGTGTTGGTAATCATTTATAGCCCTTGCGCTCTTTTATCTGCTTGCTTGCTTCACGTCAAGGGTTCTGTCTGAACCGATTCGTTACCGTTTAACGGGGTGACAGCGGTGCACAGTGATTCGATGGAAATTGCTGCTGTATTTCTCTCTTATCTGATATGTTTCCCGTCTGGTTTCAGGCCCTGAAATACCATAGGCACAGTGCAACATATTCCTCAAATAGATCCAAATCCCAGCGCCTTCTCTTAATTACAATATTTTGCGCAGTGAAGTTGAAAGTTTTCATCCTGTCCCCCCCCTCTAATGAAAAGGGAGGATGAAGACTATCGGGCTCGTGACTCCGGGCCCAAAGATATCTGACCAGAGACGAATAAGGAAAATTGTGGGTGTTGGGAAAAAAGAAAGAAAAGAAAAAAAACAGGAAAAAGAAATGATAAATTTCACGAAAAGGAAACGAGAACGCCAATTCTAGCCTTATTATACAAAATGAATGTGAAGTAAAATCGAAGAAAAATGAAATCCAACTGTACTCCTCTGACATATGTATCGCAACACTCCATATTCTGCTCCGGTGATGCAAAGTTTCTTTTCTGATTGAACAGGGCGAGAAAAAAAAAAGATATAAAAAAAAAGTGTTAATAATTGATCGCCATTCCTTAAACCGAGCCTTATACTAACAAATGAAACAAAAGTAATCAGAAAAAAAAAAAAAAAAACCCCTTGAGTAAAATGTACTGAGGAGAACGTGTGGGTATATGGGGCATTAGATTTTTGCCTGAAACGACTGCATAACATGATAGTGGTATACGTGGGAACAGTAAAGTAGATGTATCCCAAGTTTGAAAAAGGCTTCAAAGAGAATCCAATACGTAGGGTACGGTATACCAAAGCTCGAAATGCGCAGGCAAAATAAAAAAACAGGACCACGAATAAAGCAGCTCCCCTGCAGACACGCCCCGCTAGCAGGCGGGACCCATGTTTTTTTTAGGAAGAAAAAAGTGTTGCTGTAGATGACAAGCGAAAATAGCGACTGATCCCTCGGGGCTTCCATGCCCATTCGACAGGATACCGGATTTTTTTTATTTTGTTGTTTGTTTGTTTTACATTCCTGAAGAGGCGCGGATGGGAAGGATGAAAGTGCGTGATAACGATTTTGTAGTCTCCAGCAAAAACGAGATACCACGAATTACTTCTCCCCTAGTGGTGATCAAGACCCAATTCTTGATCAGGTTTGACGATGGGTCCCGCGTGCTGACCTGGGTGAGCAAGTTGGTGAAAATCGCCATTCATCGAATACCCGTCCTCCACGGGAAACAAATATGGTACATCAGTAGCCACACCATCCTCCTCCTTCGCCACGCTCTCTGTGTCAAAATGGATCCCATTCGACGTCTGGTCTACCCACTGAGCCATATTATAACGTTGTCCATAACCCGATTCCCCTGGAGCGCCGAACTGTGATGCCTCAGAAATGGATGCTGTCAAGGGTGGCGTAGGAGCACTCGCCGAACGCGAATCCAGTACGACGCCAAATTCCGCCGCCTCCGGTGAATGGGTAGTCGGATAACTAAAGACGCTCCCCATACCCTGATCAATGGACCCCATTCGAGATGGCCCCTGGGAATATATCCTGCCATCGTAGCTATCCAAAGATTCGGGTGTAGTAAGGGAAGCCATACTGCTCATGTTGTGAAGAGGGTGCTGCGGGTAATGAGCTCCACAGATTGGAGGCGAATTCAATCGGTAATATATCCCCGACAGGTCCTCGTAACTATGCTGATCGACGCAGCCCAGCATATCTGGTTGAAAAGACTCCACCCACTGAGGAACGCCCACAAATATCTCTTCTGTTCCCGAATTCAATTGAGCCATACTAGGGCGACGGGATACTGACGCAGATTGAGAAATTGGTATTCGAGGTGGGAGCCCTGTATCTCGATTTGGTTGATAATTATCCCCGAAGTTCGACATCGGTTGATCGGATGTGGGAGTTACGGGAACCGATTCAGGATACTCGTTGGGGTTCTGGTGTATCTGCCCCTCGCCAAATACCGGAGATGGAGAGGATCCCGCGGAACCACCATCATTATTGTTTGGGGTGTCCAGCTTCGGCGGAGACTTATGCCGCCGATCTGTATTCTCCACGGGGTAGAAGTTGCAATCCTTTTTTAAACGAATGCAGTTGGAACAACGACCGCTAGGGTCGTCCTTCGCAGCTATACAACGTATCTTTCGACGTCTGCAATGCCCTATGCCAACGAAAACAGTTCATAATCAGCAATTGAGTTGAGCCGATGATCAACACCATCATGTCTACACGTAGAACATACCACAAGCAACTGAAATTCGATGGTAGCCAAGTTTATTGCGTCGTTTATCAGTTGAATAGGATCCACCGGCCGCCTGTATAGAGGCATCCTCCCTCACATTGGGAGTGGAAAGCGAGCGTTTTACCGACTGGGGCATTTTTGTCATTTCTGTAAGAGAGCGTGATTTGGGCGAACGGCCCTGTAGAAAACCGGGGCCAAAGTTTGGGGAGCTGGGGAGTTGAAATACTACAGGCTGGGTTAGGGTTTGTAAGGGTTTTTTTCCTTTTCCCATCAAGTGGCCTGCTGTGTAAACCAGTCTGTATGGAGGGGAATAAAGAGAGAAAGTGAAGAGGTGAGCGAGTGTGTGGGTGAAGAGTCCCTGGGGGGGGGGTGAGTCCCGATCTCCTTTTTTGTGGTGGTAACTAGAGATCTCACCTCGCCTCTGTTTGGCTGGGTGCGAGAGTTCGTGCTGCCCGCAGCGCCCCAGCTACTTTTAAGACTTTGAATGATGGTGCGTGCAGCAATAGCACGAGATGCGGCTATCTGATAACAAATTCCCCGTGGGCCCCGGACGAGTATTCCTTGACTGAATACTCGGCTCTGGCTACCTAGAGATCGTTGAGTAGCACTACCTACTTCGGAGGAATGGTGTTAAAAAGAGTGTGGTGGTGGATGCTGAGGAAAAAGTGTGGTTGGATTGAAGGAACAGTCGCGGTCTTCACAATGGAGTATTTCTCAGTAGCACGGTAGTGTGAAACTTCAACCCTTCGACTTTTTGCACCTACAAGTACACGAAGTAACTTTAAAAGGATTAAGCACAACGAGGATGGCTGGAGTGTTCGAGCTTTTTTTTCTTTTCTTTTCTTCTTCTTCTTCTTCTTCCTGACACGCACCCAGGCACACCTTCTCGACGAGGAGAGAAAAAAAAGATGAGAGAAAGAGTTCCCCAATGAACTAGCCCACCGACTAGATCCACCGGCAAATCCAAGAAGGGATGTGGCTACGGTAATAGTCAACAACCATGGGACAGGGTAGGGAAGGGGGAAGAGAAAGAGGGAAAAAAAAAACCCCTACCGCTGAAGAAAAGACGTCAATTTCCTGTTCGGAAATCTAGAGTGGGGAAGCCCAGACGAAAAAGATTGCCCATGATAGTGAGAAAAAATAAATAAAGTGGACACAAGTCGTTGAAAAGTGTAGACTGCAGCTTGAGCTACACTAGCAAACTTCTTCCATCCACCAATTGTGATCAATTGACGCTCGGTGCCTTTGCTCCTGTCTCTGTTACGTTTCTGTTTCGGTACCTGAGCTTTATTTCCAGCTTGGCCTATTATCTTTTTCCCTCTTTCTTCTCTCTTACTCTCTTACTGTCTTTCCTGACCTTAGATACTTGATCATCTGTCATGTGTATCTGACTGTTTGCCTGTTGTTGAGCCCTACCCAGTAGCATACCAGCACCCTACTGAATGCTTGCGATCTTAGCCGTTCATTGCCACCAGCTCATTAACTCTACAGCTCATTATCTAATAACAACATGCTAGTATGGTAACGCTACAAGTTCTATCATAGTACATAATATTATTATTTAACTGCCCTCTCTACCGGTGCTCACCTCAATTCAAGCACAGTAACACACCTTCACCTCATCTCTTCTCCTTCCTCCTCACCCTTCTCTCCATCACTTCTTACTAAGTTAACACTAACATATTCGCCTACGCCCCTCCCATTTCCTGCAGACACAGGTGCAGTACTCGCATGGCATCAATATCGGATACTGCCTCCTCGAGACTGCGACCTCCGTGCGGACGGACAATTTACTTCGTCTCCTGATTCATGCTTGTTTCAATATAATAGCGCAAAGGGGAAAAAAGGAAAATACCATAAAATAAACAATAAATAATAAATAAATGAAGAATCAATTACAAGTGAAAGATTAAATTAATAGATTCAATCACAAAACCCCTTATACAATTCAAGAAAAATAAATAACAATCGAGTCAGGTTAATAATAAACAGCAATACACAACATCTCTCCACGGCCAACAAAGACGCGTCGCGAAGACCAACGATGTCCTCGCTGCAGGCACTATTCCGTAAGTAGGACGGCTGTGCGAGGGCAACATAGCTCGGATGGCGAACACCTGCCCATTGCAGCCAATGGGAACCGGGGAATGGGTATGGTGCCCCGCGGCTGCAGCCAAGCAGTTTCACGGCAATTTTCCTCTGTGGACTGGGCAAATTGGGGGAGAGGGGACGAGGGGACGAGGGGACGAGGGGACGAGGGGACGAGGGGACGAGGGGACGAGGGGGTAAGGGGGGGGTAAGTAAGAAGAATGGTTGTCCCCTTGCTCATCCCACTTCATCGTTCATATTCGTGGTGTCTACTCTACATACAGTATCATGAGGACTGCCTAATGACTCCGGCAGTCTGGTCCCTTCAAGCGGTGTGTGTGGGATATTTGGCTCTCGTTATTCCCGTATGGTTGGTTCCTAACCCACCACTCCCCCCTCCCCCTGGTCCAGTACATTGTCATGAAATGTATGTATGTGTGTGTATGAACGCATGTACGAGTACATGTATGTGTATGTATGTCTACCGTACGTTCTCGCTCAATTCATCATGAAGCATTGATGTTTGTATACACCTACATGCGACACCTATCATGCTAGGCGTTCAACTCTGTTCCTGGCTTTTCGGGACTGCCTAGCCACCAACGACAGGTGGAGCCTCTGTGGAGGCTGTCAGGGCATCTAATTTTTTTGTGCTGCCTATCCTTCCAAGCCCACACCACAACCTACCATCTACACCCACCTTCAATTGTTTTTCCCCCCCAAACATGCCATAGCGAATACCGATGAATCGGTTGGCGGGGTTCCTCAGCCTGTCAATGGTGTGGCGGATGCAGTCTCACAATTTCCAAGTTCATAAGAGGCCTGCTTTTCTTAGCGGGATGGGGTGAAGCGAGAAGAGAAAAAAGAAAATACAGCAGGGGAATAAGAGAAGAAGAAAAGCAAAAAAAAGACGATATAATGAGGAAAAAGAGAGGCAGAAGGGAAAAATAATAAAAAATAAAAAAAAGAGGAAAAGAAAAAAAAAATCGACAAAAAGAAAATACTCGAGTAACAGAAGCAGATCGAGGCCTCGACCAATAATCGAATTTCAATAAACCCCCTTTCTAATACCTTGCGAACCAACGAACATCCGACGCTATCGCCTCACCGAAAAAGAACCATCAACTTTCGCAGATGACGCCTGCCCGCAGTCTCTCTCTCGAGGGGGGACTTGAAGAAGAAAAGAAAAAAAAAAGAGCTGAACGACCCAGCATTAGACAGTTCAATTCGGACGCTATGCTAAAACGAGGCTAATACAGTACGGTATTTAAAAAGCTCCAACAAAAATAAAGCCTCAAAATCTGGAACACCACTGCTGTAGATCACCATCTTAAACGCAGACGTTTCCAAACAGAAGTCAAGTTCAACTCCCCCAAAACACGCATCGTCCGCGTCGAGTCTCACCTTCTGAGCATGCGCAACTAGCTACTCGAGGACAATTGATCAAACACATACGGTACCGTACCGTGCTATCTTCGAAAAGATCTGTCCTCGTGGCCAGTGGGTGGCTCTCTCTGTGATCTTTTTCGGGAGATTTGCCCAGCTATCAGAATATATAAATACCTTTCGACAGATATCATTTTGGCCCGGAGATAACGTACGGCAGTGGGGAATATATGTGCTGGAAGATTACTCAGATAGGGTGCGGTCGCCGTCCGGTACCGTAACTCAGGGAGAAAAGCCTCAGAGTCGAGCTTAAAATGATGCTTGTGCTTTCCTTTCATCCACGCCCGGCAGAGATATTGCCGAAAGAAACGATTGATGTCTGTAAGACTTCGGCATTACGGTGATGGCGCCAGCTGATGAATGTTTCAACAGTGGGGGAATCGGGAAAAAAAAAACTATATAGACAAAATATTATTAGGCGGCCGGCCGGCCCAAAATTGATTCAACGCAGCTGATGTGCACAAACATTTCACCGTCCGTCCAAAGATATCTCATTATTGAGTGCTCAAATAATATTGAATTTTGTTTTACGTTTTTCACTGCATTTCGCATTTTTTACACGACATCTTGTTTCCTTTTCAGCATCCCCCCCCCCCCAACGGAAAGATCCGAATGGCTTCGGTCTCCTTATTTTTCTTCAAAGGTGATACAGCAGATCAGAACATAAAGTGAGACAGATGAAAAATCCCACCAATTGAAAACCCTACGCCTCTCCTATTCTTTATTTGAAGGGCCTTTCCGAGCGTATCGATCAAATGAATAAGCTAGTTTCCTTTCCTCCTTTGCACGGAGAAAATGGTTTTAATTTTCGCAGAACTGAAGGGGTGGAGCGATAAATGATGGGAGGACGATATGCATCTAGCCTAAGTTAAGGCTCGTTTTTTTTATCTTCCTTTCCTCCTCCTGCTCTCGTTCAACTTCCCCTTTGCCCCCTACGAGTACGAGTACATTTTATCCTTAATCCTGCTACGGCCTTTTCTGTGCAAGCAACCGTCGAGATAAAGGACGCCTCTCCGCTTAACAATTACTTTTTTCCAAGACCGGAGTAAGACTGTGGAATACAATTGCCGGCGTAAACCGTGTACCCTCGAAGCATTTACCGGCATCCTCGCAGCGCATCGGGAACCGAAGATCGCACCCCAAGAAAACCTTTTTTTTTTTTTTTTCTCCTTTCCCCGAAACCTGGAAAGATTTGCGAAATGTTAGAACTTCAATCACTCTCCTACCCCCCCCCCCCACTCTCTCAAACCCCCCTTTCCTCCCCCTCTCAAGTTCGAGGTATTCCCCCACCTATCGGGGATTACTTTCCCTGATGGACAACGATGGACGAACGAAAAAAAAGTAGTCTAAAACCCTCTGCCCTAATTGTTTGACAGATGTTCATGCACCTGAGGGCCAAGCGAAGCCAGTTGGACGTGCAGTTTGAAAAGAAAAGAGAAGAGAAGAGAAGAAAAAAGGAAAGGGTGGCCAGGATATCGTCCAAGCAATCCATGCTTTTCCCTATCCCACTCATAGTCGTGGCGGTCAAGGGTGGCTTACCAGCAGTATCGACGAGGGCAAAATTCAAGCCTGCGCTTGGTTCGATTCTCCCCAAGAGTCTCCTACTTGGAGATTTCCAGACCATTCCGTTTCAGGGGCTGGAATACTCCTCAAGTAAAAGAAGACCAACCTCCCAGTAATTAGTTTTAGGAATTGCTAATCAAAACTTATACGAGAAAGGACTAGGGGGTTGAAAAGAAAAGAAAAGTACGAGTTAGAGAGCATTTGATTCCACAGAACATCGAGAAAGTGAGAAGGGGAAGGGAGGGGGGAAGAAGAAAAAAAACGACGATGAAGCGGTGTGGAAGGAGAAAAGAAAAAGTGAAATACCGGTATGGATACCTACGTATGCAAAATATCCCTATTTGATATTGCATGGTGATTTATTCCTTTGCTTTTTGTTAGAAGCAGTTGGATTCCAACAAAAGTGTTGAGAGCGAGAGAGTTCGGCGTTTCCCGTACTACATACCGGTACCCCCTCTCCTCTCACATGGGCTATATGATATGCATCTATCACTCGATATCACTCGTGCCCGTTACTCGACCGGTGCTGCTCCTGGGAAACCCCCCACGTATCTCCAGCTAAAGGCCTAGGTTCAGGAAAAAGAGCTCTCCACAGACCTTTTTTTTCCTTCTCCCCCCCCATGTAAGGGTTTAAAAATACTTGACCCTATAGTTTTGTTACCTGGACAAGTAATCCTGGAAATGCGCTTTAGTGCACATTAGCCTGGCTTGCAACACTTATTCGGCAGGTGTGTGCGCTTTTCCATCCGCTCGGGGGGGGGGCGCAGGGAAAGTTTGGGTCTACAAGTACTACTCCCCCAGTTCGTCATACATGGTTATTATGATAGGTTTTTTTCATAAATCGGGTCAACACCACGCCCTTGGCGACAAAAACCCTCCGGATACCGTCGGCCATCGGAAGTGAAACCATTGTGGGGGAATCTCTTCACCTTTATCCCATCATAAAATGGTGAAAAATAGACCTGAAGAAAAAGGGAAGAAAAAAAAGGCAAATCTAATGAACTTGTCATATTTTTACCATAAATTATTTTTTTCCACAAAAAGTCAGAAAGGACTTCTGTTGTCGGTTAGTTCTTATTGCTGCTGCACTTGCTAAATTAAAAGTTGTGCATGTGAGTTTTGGGTAGTAGTGCCAAGAAGAATTCTAAGGAAAATCGCTATACGAGTAGTAGTTACTTGTACGACAAATCCTTTAGACTACCGGTAACTCTTTCGGTACTCAAGTACTGTAGGTCTCAGCTCGACTTTTGGTCGACCTTTCCTTTTTTTCTCTCAAAAGTTCATTTGGATAAATTCATTTGGGCCGTTTGAGGAATACCGACTTGTCGACAAGTCTGTGAGTATTTCATTGCTACGATAATATTACGATAGGATTTTCTCGGAGAAAGGAAGTGATTAGTTATGAATGAGTAGAGTACTAAAAAAGTACCGTACTAGTACAAAAGCTACAGTCGTAACCTTATGATACAATACCCACGACGAAACCACCTACCTTACTGGTATAAGTAAGCCAGTTAGCGAACAGGGATCAACAAACAATTTTTTTCGTTACCCTACCTTTTACAAGTTGCCACCTTTTCCCATCTTTGCCCATGATACCAAACCAAACCAAGCCAAACCAAACCGAATAGGGTACTCGAGTAACTGGTCGGTACCGGTATTCAACCCCTGTCCGACAACAAGCCCAGTTTCGTTCATTCGTTCGTTCGTTCGTTCGTGGGTACGAGTACTTATGAAATATAGTTATGAATGTAATCTCAAACTCGTCCGATGGAAAAGTATAAAATAAAATAGAAAAAAATAAAAAGTAAAAAAAAAAGGTCTCGAACCGAAGTCAAGAGGGGGAGGGGGGGGGAGTAAGAAGAGCACGGTCCTCAGTGGCTTTTTTCTTCCCCCCTCCCTCCTCCCCTCCTCCCTCCCCCTCCTCCCTCCCTCTCGACCCACAAAACCCACCACCACCCACCATAATTAACGCCAAAAAAACCTAAAATGGAATTCGGGAAACCCGGGAGACCGAACCTAACTGTACAGTACTTTACTCGTACAGTAATACTTCAATTCGTCTGTCCGTTCGTCCCTTTTTCTTTTTCTTTTTTTCTTTTCTAATCTGCGGTTTTTCCCTTTTCTTTTTATTTTTTACGTGGCGGGCGGGTCCCGACTCGAGCCTCTCCGCACGTTTTCCCTGTGGATATAGACTAATACCGTAGTCTATGGTAGACTATTTAGTTGACCTTGTTATCATGCTTACCTGCTGAGAAACGAGTTTGTTCTCATTGGCTCGGTCGGTCGGGGTGAGGTGTGCTTTACCGGTTACCGGTATGAATTGTTGTTATTGAACTGTTGGATTTTTTATTAACTTTTGATATTTTCTTTCCTTCTAGGTTTGATTTATAACCGTTGGATGAAATGCGATACTTGTATCATATTCCCCGCAAAAATAGCCCCGGGTGTAGAGTACGGGTACCGATACTCGAGTTCTGTGTCGTGTGTACTTGTACTCGCGCCGTGCGCACGATACAGTATGGTATTTTCGACTCGTCGCTAATTTATCATCTCATACCATCTAACCGGCTGTGGTTGAGTAATCTGTCTCATATCGTGGCGGAAAAGGGAAAGAAGAAAGGCATTGGGAAAAAAGCCCCCCGAAGCCCTAAGTCCTTGTTACCAAGATTTGGACCATTTCTTTTTCATCCTATCATAAGATCCCCCGCGAGGGGAATGGGGCGAACAGGCACCACAACGGTTTATCAAAAAATTTCTTATTATGATAGGGAAACAAGTGACGTCAGATCTTGATTTTTTTTTGAATGCGGCTCTCCCTCCCGCTGGATAAAGGTGGATGATCGTCCTGGGGTTACTGGTAAATCCAATGCTTAAAAGGCTAAAATGGGAGCTGACGTCACACAGAAAAACGTTGGAGCGAATTCGTCCAAGCAAATGGGAAAGAGAAAAAACAGCATCTGTATTCCCTTGGGCCTACCTACCTGGGGACTTTCAAGCATGTGATTAGGCGTGGGCACCCCCCCCCGCGAGACGCCCTTGCTTGCTTCGTTCGGGCTATCGGTAGAGGTAGTGGTGGCTTCTACGCAAGAATGAGAGAGAGAGACTGGGACTAACTAAGTAAATTACCGTACGGGTACTCCACTCGAGTATGTCACTTCTGCCAACTTCCGCCACTTTGCTTGTTTTCAACCAATGTCCTGTCCATCACTCTGGTATCGCGGCGAGGACAACCACCTCGTAGTGCTGTGACGACATCCTGACATCGATGGTGCTTTCTTTACGGTACTCTACAATGTTCGAGTACCGATGGGCGAGAGCTCCCCAGAACGGAGGTTCTGTAGGAAGAAGATAAATCTATAAAAATGGGTCCTTGACCCCCAATCGACAGACATTTCCTCATCACCAATACACTCAAGCATTCGAGCAATCACAAATCCTTTAGACTTTTAACTTTTCAAAGCAAACAATCGTCAATCATCATGTCTGATTTCGGTCGGTGCTTTCCATAGTCCTCTGAAATTCTTTCGTTGGTTTCTAATATCAAGTTAGGAAGAAAGTCTTTCACCGACCAGGCTACCGACAAGATAACCCCAGAGTCCCAAAAGCCAACCACTCAGAAGCTGGGAGACACTGCCTCAGGTGCCTACGATAGAACCACTGGTGCCGTTCAGCCCGAGTAAGTCCTGATCATGGAATCCACTATCTAGCACTCACTGACAACTTATTTCCGTATAGTTCGCAGAAGTCCACTACCCAGAAGGCCACCGACAGCTTGCGCTCGGGCTCTGATGATGCCTCAAGCCGGTCCAAGGGAGTAGCTCAGTCGGCCACTGACACTGCCGACTCTGCTGCCCGGGGCGTGAAGGACACCATCGGTTCTGTTACTGGCAACAAATAAATTGGAAAGGGGTTTTGTTTGGAAGAATTATCTTCCTCGTGTTGGTGCTGGACTGATGGGCGGACTATCTTATGCTATACATAGTCATTAACAGTGTTCCCGGTGAAAGTAATCGAACATTTGTTTCATTGTAAAGTTTTAGTCTGAAAATTTGATTTGTTTGGAAGAAGACTCTCCAGCATCATGTGACGGCAATTTCCGTTTGTTTTTCCCCTTCCCCTTCCATTTAGCAGCAAGAACCTTTTCCCAATAAATTCTCTCTTCGTTCCCCTCCACGTTTGTAGCCTTAACCCAATTATCTCTTCCACTATCGTTTGTAACTTTCTTTCCTTTTTTGTCGTTGCCATCTTGCATCCTACGTTTCCGCTTTTTCAGTGCAGAGACCACCAACTCCGAGTCCTGCGCTTTACGCAGCCGCAGGTATGCCGTCGTCAACCCTTTCGAGTAATCGACATAATTGATGTTTACTGGGGGGCCATCTCTGTCCTTCAGAGTGGATGAGCGCTTTTTTCCATTATATCGATCCACCTGCCGGGTGATAAAAGAAGTAATGGTTTCTTTGGTTGTCAGCGGGTGTATGTTGGTTAGGTAGACAATTAGTCCAGATTCATAATCGGCATTCATTTTTTGATCGCCTTCCCGGACTGAGGCCGGATCTACAGGGACGGTTGGGAAAATCGGTAAATCAGACCACATTTGTTGAACCGACGAACCAGATGCCCCGTCGTGGCGTTCTGGCAGCCTTATGCGTGCGGGAGAGGTTGGTCGCCTCCCTCGCAGGTGTTGGTATTCCTCGTCTCTCTTTCTCCATTCATGCCTTGCCCGGGTTAGCTAATTTTGTATGAGGTATTTGATAACTATGAACTCACTTTGTCATAATTATCCAATCTTTTGGCCACAATCCCTGATTCTCTGCGTCTTCGTGCGACACCGCGGCGGATAGTATCACGAATGCCCATGCAGTATCACCAGCTTCGACAAACTGCACCGGCAGGTATTTTCTCGGCATCGCTGATTGCGATAGCATCCTAGCTACCCTCCCAGGGTTTAGAGTTATGCCTGTAACATGAGGCTCCTTGACGAGGAAGAGTTAAAATCAGCATATGCACCAGAATTCAAGTGGCCACGAGGGAAGGTCCACAATATAGATTGTGGAATCTTCTGAACACTTCGGGTGGCCCGCGGGGGATCTCGAAGAAGCCAGATATTCCTGCCGCCGCCGAATATAGTATTTGTCTTTGCTCAGCTGTAGCTAACGTTAGCTGCATTGACAACATATATGGCTTCTGAATCAAACCTACTTGTAAAAAGTCCGAAGGATATTGAGTGAGAGCCTTTCGGAGGGTCATTTGCGATGGCTTTGGCTTCATCTCGGCCAACAGCGGACAGTCTAACAGCGCGGATAGATGGATAACTAACGCCCATATAATTAGCAGAAGGTAACCGGCAATTAAATTAGCTTTCTTACAGTCACTTTCCCCTTCCACAGATCGCATCCTTGCGGAAAACCATTCGGGGGGGCCACTTTCGATTCCATGATCCGAAAACAATATCTCGAGGGTCATCACCATTTCCTTCGCCAAGGTCGGGTCGATATAATCATTTTTGGTAGATTTCTCGGTAGGGGCGAGAGGCGTAGATTCCTTCTGTTGTTGGCATAAAGATTTTTTCTGGAGTTGCCTAGGAACAAACATTACACGTTACAGGGCACCTAGATGCTTTTTGTGTGTTGGATTTTGGTGGTGTGGAGTTGCGTTGGACAACTCGAGCTTGGATCGATGCGCATTATCACACCCAATCTACTTCACGTGGCGTGTTGCTCCAGCAACCGTCCTTGGCTGCTTGGCATCCAACACGCGATGGGCCATAGTCCACTGGGACGCTATGCCAACGCTGATACCGGTAGTCTACAGCCTTGGCCCCGAGGCTGCATTAACCTGAGAGGCATCTTGGCGCCAAGCTATCCCCATCGCAACTGAACCAGCGAGCACTGAGTGACACTTAACCTTCTTTTACTCCACTCTAGCTCCATTATTGTGCAGAGCTCAAGGCGCATTCGAGTAATACGGTGGAAGTGCCGGATACGGTCAATGGTATCATAAGTATCTAAGCGAGTTTACGAGATTGTATAATGCTAATAGGTCAGCTATCTTAATGTATGTGAATGCGGAACAATAGGGCTTAGTGGTCTTGCTGCAATGTTGAAGAGTCTCTTCAGCTAGCGTGGAACCTCACCCCTCACTTAATCCACGTCATGTCCAAAGAGAAATATTCTACAAGCATGGTACAGTACCGTACTGAGGGGTATTACAATGTAGGTGAAGGTCAAGTAGCCTCTCATGTGGGGGGGGGTATCAGAATCAGAATTGAGGTCGTGAAGGACTATGCCAAGTTGTAATTACAGTATCACTGTTGTATCTAGTAGTGAAACATCAGTTCTCCCGGGTTGATGGGTTTGCACATGGCTGGATAGTGTCTTGGCTCAAGCCTTCCACCCTTGCTGAATGTGAGGTGTGTTATTGGATAGGATCTTTGGGTACAGCATTGGTGATCTTTGTGATATAAGTTTTCACAATTCTCAAGGTGATTCGTCAGTCTTTGTTTTTTTTCTTCTTCTTCAGCGGTTTGCTGTACGAGTACGGTACGGTACTCGGGTGTGGTCAAGGCGGGAGAAAGGATCAGCGTTCAATCAAATATATTATCCTTGCATTGCAAGATCCTGTGGGGTAGTGAGTAGGTGGGTGGTCAATATGAGTTGAAAGGATGAGGCCCGATAGACACGAACAACCCGGAGTTGATAATATGCACATATTAGCACAGCTGGCTGCTGGCTTCCGGTGCAGGGTAAGAATTACCGTACTTGTATGGTACACGAGATTGAGTTTAGCATAGTCCTGTCCCATGGGGATCACTTGCGACCTCGAGAAGCCCTTCGGGATCTCCGATTCGTCATCTCCGGAGGAGTGCAAACACCGGTGCAACTGGTCTGGGTTCCTAACTTCTGCAATCCTGTATTTCCTCTCACGAAGTCTCTTGATCGATCAACATAATAATCCCTACCTTGCCACCACAGGCTTTCTGCCCTTTCTCGCCAATGCTCGAGGATTGCAGTTTATGGATCAGTCTGCTTCTCCTTGGCAGTCCCGTTCGAAAGCGATAGTAGTTCATCCTGGTCACCGCTTTGGAAAAGAAATTCAAAGGATGTGTCGATTGTTTATGAAGAGTGGGAAAGTGGCGGCAGGCGGTACAAGTTAGTGGTATGATACATGGAAATGTCTGATTCGAGTTGAACGTGGACGTTCTCAACATTACCTGAGATGCTGGTACGAGTACTGCACACCGCGGTACCAGCTCTGGCCTGAGGTATCATACGACGGGATACCGCTCTATCGTACCGCTACTAAGGATCTTCCTTTTGACCGACTGCTAAAATAGATTCGCGAGGTGAGATACCGGTAATAACCATTTCGGCCGTTCCCAGCCCTAAATTCTGCCAGCGGACTATTCGAGTAGACGATCGCTTCTCCCGGGCTCATCGAGCTCTTAGCGTTGTGTCTGTGCTCGCCGTAAATTTGGGTTTGTGACCTTTTGGTGATGGAAGAGGAAGGAGGGTGATTGGTTGGTGGTCTTAGAGTGGTGGTCAAATTTTATTTATGTCATATCATAATTATTATTGTTATTGTTGCACCCGGGCTTGAAGTAGAAGGTGATTGAAAGTCGTGCGGATTTGTGTTGGCAGCGGACAGGTCTATTCGAGTACTGGAGTGTCATTACCTTATTGGACGTGCTGCTGAGACGCAATCTAAGTTAAACCTGCGCACGAAATGGTCGGAGTCACCCCCAATCATTGGCATTCATGGACTCGGGCAATAAATTGTCCTAAAATAGAAGATCAAGTTTATAGCAGTAGGCAGTATCGCAGATATCCTCGGTTGTCTCGGAAGGAAATAAATTAATACGGCAAAATCCCACGATAGCTGCTCTTGGCCGTCGAGCTTTCTTTTTATATGATACCAAAGCCTTGGGGGTATTCGAAACTATCTCACCAGCAGCAGACACCCCGCTGTAGCCATCAAAGCAAATTTAGGTCTTTTTGACATTGCCATTACGGTTTTCGGTGCCCCCAGAATTACTGGAGGCCCGCAGAGTCATTTGGAGATATTAATCGTTGGTTTGGTAGAGGCTGACGAGATTATCCAGCTTACCAAAAGGAAAAAGAACATCTCCAAACCGGCTGCCCTGGCAATCCAGAGCCTCGTGAAGGTGTTAGATGCATTGCACAAGCTACTGGAGCCACCGCAGCAGGATGATGAGGATGGCTACAGAAAGCCGTGGATTGGAACCCAGAAGTTTATTAAGAAACAAAACTGAAGAAAGCAGTGGTAAAGCTGGAGGGGTTCAAGACAACATCTATTGTCTCATTAGTGGCAACAGTTGCTGGGTCCGGTCTAGCCCGATTCACGATTCCGTCTTGATTGATTTCCTCCGCCTTTGGCAGGACAAATGAACATGATCAATCCATGAGTTTCCATCTCCAGCAGGTCAAGGCACCGAACAATCGCCGCTGCTAGGATCAACTTTAGTGCCGCTATTTCTGGGCCTGGTATAGAGAATACCCCTATGTGTTCATTTGCTAGCCCTAGTACCCTTCCGATGGGCTTCGAGTGTGGAGCGGCAAACGAAGGGAGGTTTTCCGATATATTGTTTGAAACCATCGAGCAAACTGTGACCACTGCTATTGGTGGATCTGCTAGTGCTCGGAGAGAGATCCGGTCATTGGGCCTACCAAGCCTACGGGTAACTTAGGAAACGTGGACTTGGGGAGAATTTAGTTAATACGGAACCCAGATGCTTGTGCTGTGGTGAAGCCAGGGGGTATGAAATCCAGCGAAATCTCGAACCAAACACTTGCTAAACTTTCACAATTTTGTTTAGATGGTAGGGATAATATTGGTTCTAATAGTAGGTAACGAGAGGTGTTGTCCGGTGTCTATATGTGGTTGAATCTTTTAAACTGGACTCGACATGCGGACATCCTGATATCTATTGATCTGCGCCCCCCCGTCCGCCCCACGCATCCCTGGCCGTGCGGGAGCAGGAGGGCCTATTCTACCAGGAGACGACAGTGATTTAGATTGGAAAAGGATAGTCCTGTGTCTCGTAGCGACTACTGGTGACCTGAAGAACCTGCTATTTTCGTCTAGTCCCCAAGTTATACTCACTCGGCAGGATATCAGTGATGTAGCAAGGGAGCATCTAGAAGAGATACGAAGTAGGCTTGGACCCAACGGCATTGGGGAGCTTGAGCAAAGAAAAGAGCTTGTAGAGAAGGCGTGAAGACAGCAAAGCTCCATCAGGCCATATGCTGGCCGCCCGCTCTATGACAGGATCCTCCACCTGCTTTTAGGGCATCTCTGCAGAGAAGAAGCATCTTTTATTCTTAGAATACTTTCATGGGATGCGTGTGCGGAAAGAGAGTTGGCGTTGCGCGAGCTTAGCGTCGCAATCAAGCTGAAGCAAGGAGTCGGATCGCTCGAAAACCGGAAGTGATACGAAATATAAACTATGAGGTATAGCTGATGTGTGAGACGAAGCACATTCGCCGGGGCGGTGGTGGCACAAAGCTGAGAATGTAATCATCTATCTTCAGTACCAAAATGGCTCCCCCGTGGCCTACCCCGGCTCCCCCTGCTACTTCGAGATATGGAATCCATCGGTCAAAGGCCATACCGGTATTCTCGTATGTCGAAAACGAGCCCTCGTTTGCGTTTATGACATGGATCAATAGCCTGAGGGTGTAGCTCAGTCGGATATTAACTAAAGCGGAAACTGTGGGCACCCTATGCACTGGGCTTGGAATGGGGCAAAAGTCTCTCCTGAATATACCGAGCATGGCCCTTGGACAAAGGAGTATTGCGGCGTTATACCTGACGTTTCTCATGTTCTCTAACTTTGGAAGGAGTGCAGTCACGGAGCCAGATGAAACATTCGGAGATAAGAGTGCACTGGTATTCCATGCAACGTTCTAAATAGCTGTCAGAGAGTATGGCTATCTCCGATACGCTTCCTCCCACTGGGACTACCGTTTCTGAGGGGTGGCCGAGGCTCAAGTCGACAAGGATTTGATCAATTTAGTCTGCAAATTTGCAAGCTCTCTTGAGTATGTGGACATGGTGCAGGGCAGCAAACTTGGAAGGGCTCGACCCAACGCCAGAATACCCATAAAAAAGCCTCCCAGTCCAGGCCACGGCTGGCGAAGGCACTATGCTTGTTCTCAGTCCTTATTTAAGAGAGCCATAAGATCGGCGGCCTCGACCCCTGGGGTCATTCTACGTCCTGTGTCGCGGTGGCACGAGGACGCTCAGAGGCTGCGAAAGTCCCCCACGGAGCTGGCTCCAAAACGCTTCATTCACAGACCTTGTAACCCCCGCAATGATGGGTTATAGTGGGACTTTGAAAGAGCTTCCCCAAGAGGGCGCCTAGCCGGACGCAGTCGACAGCGTGGGCTGGGTCACGCCCGCACCGGTAGTGATATCGATGATGTGAATATACTACGAATGAAATACTGATACAACCTGCTTTCGCTCGATGTGGTATCGGGGTTGGATGTGCGCCTACTGATCGTGGAACTCCCGGAGGAGATTGGTGCTCAGCTAGCATCCAAGTCCCCGAGTGCGGCCTTCTAGCCAGCTGCAATTATGTGTCAGTGGTATGTTGTGGCGCATGTGGTATTTTTTCGGCAATACTACTTTTATGAATCTTATGACCTCTCCTTGTGGCGAGTGACTAATGGCAAGTAGGTTATTGGACTGCACTCACAGTCAATCACTCGATATAATAATCTAGAATTTTGTTGGACATACTTGCACGGTGCGCACTAGAGAACGCCAGTGTTGGTGTTTTTTCCTTTATATACGTTCCCTTCTCCCATTCCCTTCCTTTCTGGCTCTTCCCTTCAACTTTTCATACCATTCTTATCACGTTCAACCCTACACACTGCGCATGGTATGATACCTGCACTCGGCCACTCCCCACTCTTCGATTCACATCACTCTGTGAAACCCTTGCTCTGATAACCACCACTCCTTTAAACTTACTCAATAAATCTCAATTATCGTGGCTGTGTTCTGAAACCTAATATCATACCTACTGCAACAAAGCTTGCAAAAGCTCATAACCCCCCGCCCCGCAGAGATTTCTATTCTATCTTTTATTCACATGTAGTGTATATAGGAACATATCAGTTGGACATAAAGCACTGAGGTGGAAAAGATCTGGCAGCGGTAATAGAGTCTATTCAGAACAGAGCAGAAGGTACCACTGGGGCCGACAAGGGGCCCCTAAGCACTCACTCCACTTTACTTTGCCCAACGAACTCTAACAGCCTCAGATATGCCCAATGGTGGAATGCCACGGCGCGCGCTCACAGAAGTACAGTTCGGTGACCTACTTGATTGTTGGTCGTCTTTTTTTACGCCGGCTTTACAACTTAAGTATTGTACAAGTTGCCCAACTGTACTGCATCCGCCCATACCAAACGAAAGATCTAACCATTAAAGGACTCCCCCTGGGAACATACGATAGAAAGAGTCAGGATCACGGAGCAATCCTATGGGGAAAAAAAAAAATGGAAAAAAGAACTTTGGGGTGTTCGTCGGACGTGATTTGGATTTCAAATCATGATTTTATGATGAAATCACTCTGCTTATCTGCTTAAACACCCTGTGCTTGATGTGATTGGAATTGCAATTTGGGTCACTTAACATAACATTATTGTATTATATAGCAATTTTTAATTTTTAATTTTTTGGCTAAGAAATAAAAAAGAACAAAAAAGAAACAGAAAAACAGGTGTTGTGCTGATGTTTATCCAGATATGTATTATCCAAATCACACGATGAAACTCTAAACCAAATCGCATTGCCAAACACCCTGTGATCCCAAACCACCATTGCCAAACACCCCCCCCCCCTTCTAAACTTCTAGATTATGATCATTGGGGTAAGATGGAATCACGCGTATGGGGCCTAACGAATCCAAGCATGGTGGGAGATGATTTTTCATAAGATCGCATGCCCCTGTGGGTTGCCAGTCCTCTATGTATCATACTTTGTGCGCTTGGGCCTAATGTGTCGAGAATTGCGGCCTTGGGGTTCGCTGAACCAATTGTATATGATATGTATACAAGTTTCCGGATCTCCGAGTCTTTCAAAATTCAACTGGGAGGGGAGGGGGCAAGATCAGATTTTGGAAAATTTGGAATCCAGAAGTTAGTTTTCTGGATTTTAGCGTGAAAATGTGCCAGGACCACTTCTGGATCCCCTTCCAGGTTCCTGCAGGAAGTCTTCCATTGCGATAAACATCAAGATTTAGAAGTTTTGTGGTCTACGTGAACTCCGATGAATCGTTGAGCTCTTCTACATGATAGACCTTGTGAGACCTCACCCTCAGCGAGGCGCGGCAAGACTTGGTAGCAAAAGCTCTCTGGTTTCAACAGCCATGCCATGCCGCGCCCCGTTGAGGGCTCGCGCGGTCTGGGGCTTATATCGTAGCAAGCTGCGCCCATGTCCGTCGTTATTGCGTGTGGGGGACGCGGACTGCTTGCTTGGGGATATGGTTTTATGTTAGTTCACAGGGATGTTGACACGGGAACATGAATTATTCATGTCACCCTTTTCCCCCCATTTGGTGTTGTTTTAAGGCGCTGCAACAAGGTGCAATGAGTGGCCAACGATAAATTGTGTCCAAGAGCTATACCATTTAGCGGTCGTAAAATTTCCACTTGCAATTTTGCTTTCGTTACATAACCCTGAATTTCAAAACACGTAAAGTAACACTGGCATTGATATGCCGTTGGCAGGAAAGAAAACAGGAAAAATAACTAAAGTTGAAACAATCATAACATGCAAACTTGGCGTTAGCCCCAGGCAGCAACATAAGCCGATACTTATGCGACTCGTAAGCCGCACTCCTACTCATCATCGTCCTCATCATCGTCACTACCATCTTCATCTGCCTCTTGAAGCCAAGTGAGGAATGGCGCTGCTGCCTTGCGAACCTTCTTGCTCGTCTGAACATCGACGTACTTCTGGCTGGCCCTGCTACCCCATTTGGTGATAGTATCCTCCGAGGCAAGATCGTTTTCGTAGTATGCCATAAGAAGGGTAGGGATAGCTGAAATAAGCTCTGGATGGTCGTTGCCCACGAAACGCTCTGTTCCTCCCAAGAACGCTTTTTCATGGCGTTCGGAAGTTATCATCTAAAAGTCTGTAAGCTAAATGGTTTCCGTGTATGAGCATGAGAGCACGAACCTTCTTGAGAAGACCAGCGTGAACCTTGACCTGGTTCTTCTTGATGATATTCTCGTCGAAGAGAGTTTGAGCAAGTACTTGAAGAGTACGATGGTTCAACTCAATGCCAAGTGCTTGGGCCTTCTTATAAATCTCCACGTCGTCCACTTCGCCATTGTTCTCAGCTTTTTGTGCCACAATCCAAGATCCGAGTTGATCGAAGGGATTGTCACCACCGGCAGCTTCGTCGTCGCCCTCGATGACCAAAGAGCGCTTCAAATCATCGGGAAGGCTCTGGGCACGGGCCTTGATGGCTTCCTCTGACATGTCAACTGCCCAATCGTCATCCTTAGCCTCGACGCCATCACCATTTGTAGGAAGCTCTTTGGCTTCAGCTTGAATACGGCGGGTGAGTTCGTCATCAGAACCGCCGTCGGCCTCTCCATTCATATCTTCAGAGCCACTGTCCTTAGGGGAGTTGCCATTCTCGGCATCGCCGTTCTTCTTGCCACTCTTTTTAGAGACTCTGGCCTTCTTTTCCCTCTTTGGTGGGTTCTTGGTGATGAAAGAGGAAAGTTTGTGACGAGCATCAACATCGGTGCGTTGACCACAGGCTTTGCAATCGCGAAGAATAGTCCCATCCTTCTGAACAATCAGATCGGTCTCAGGATTCTTGCACTTCTTGCAAAGCACAAACTTAGAAATAAAGGTATCAAGATAACCCTGAAGTTTGCCTGCGTCATGGGCACCATTGATGATATATCGATCGTCAGTAGGGTTGGCAGTGACTTGGGCACCCAGCTCGAATCCGAAGAATTTGACAACATCTATATATTTACTATTAGTAAACTACCAAGCTTCCGTATCCACAAATGAAGATTCGATGGTATATTGAGAACTAAAAATAGAACTTACATGCAGGATCACGACTCAGGGAATGAGCAACACTACTAAGGTTGACAATGACCGATTTGATACCATTGCCCTTCCCTTCAATCTTGGACTGAAGACGTTCCATCTTATAACGGTAGAAGGGATCAGTAACATCGCGACGGACATTGATGGTAGCCATGATTGCGGTTTATCGGAGCTTATTGACTGGACGAAGTTTGCGTGGTGGTTGATGATTCTAAAGCAAGAGCGGCGAGAAAAAACAGCATGAACTGGACCGGATCTGATAGGCTAGTCGTGGAGAGGATTCCCTTTTGTTTGGCGACAAAAAACAAATGGAAAAAAATTTCTCCTTGATTTTGAGGTTGCCTGGAGAACAGATTTTTAAGTGATGGAGCGTATGTTAGAAGCCCGTCTGGTCTTTTTCAAAGGCCGTATAAGCCGAGAGCGAATCGATGGTGAATTTTTTGTGGGGGAAAGATTCATGAACAACGACGGCTTTGTTATTAATCTCCGGTTGTTCGTGAAAATAAAAATGCTCTCGAGAAGGCAAAGGAAGGGGGTAAGTGAACAGAGTTGATGAACACCTGTTTGAGGGTGTAGAGGGTGGAAACGCGGGGCAAACTTTTTTCTTCGGATTTTTTAGGGCAAAAGCTGGGGGTGGAGCAAAGAGAAACGGTCAGTGTGCGGAGAAGAGAGGAAGGAAAGAGGCGGTCGTTGGCGCAAAAAATTCCTTCCTTTAGAATGTTGTGGACCCGATTACTAAGCCTCGGTGGTATGATACTCCGCTTACGTGGCAAGCTGTCTTATCCGTTCGCCAGTTCCCATATCCCACGCGCTTGTACAGTACCGTAGTACCTTACAAAGACGGTGATCTCAAGTACGAAAATTTAACGATAAATAGGAAAGGCTATAAGTCTTTATTCTGACCTGGCAAATGATTCTTCGGAGAGGATCTGTCATGATATTTTAGGATTTTTAGGTTGTTTTGCCAGTTATTCCTCGTCCTGCACGGGTTAGCAACACTCCTGGTTTAAGCGCTTGGGAACGAGCTCTTGGATCACTACCGATCACTCGTCTATTCGCCTTAGGCATTCCAAGAACCAATCATTAGAGAGCCATTGCTGACAGAAGGCAGTATCATAGTAAAAAAAAAAAAGCCTTGACTTTTACGGCGAGGCCCTAAATTCTACCTCTATTGAGGGGTGCATAAGTTAGAACACATCAGTCCCCCACGTAAGTATCTTTAGTATTTTCATTTTGGGTTCCACCATTGCACTGCCAGTACCTGCACTGAGCCAAGTGTGGTGTTGCAGTCTACCATATCTGGTCTAGGCGGAACAACTCTACCTGGACCCAGCACAATATCTCTACGCAAATTACCTAAATCGTCTGCAAAGGATGTCTCTGCAGTACACTATATCAGTGGTCTCTGGTGGCCGTTGTAAATCGTTCTCTTCTGATGTGGAATGGGTTGTCTACTGTCATGGCTTGTTTGTCACCCAGCAAGAGTATGTATATCTGTCTCTAGATACGCTGATCAAATTTTTACACAGTTTACAACCGCACTCCTATGAACTCAAGCCCGGATAAGACATCCAAAACTCTCCTGTGTGATATAGTGAAAACTTATCCTCTGAAATATTTTAGAACGCATCGCATCTGACCTCTCCTTAATTACGAATTACCCAAGTCCACACCAACGAGTAGAGATAAATTATCCTAGGACAAATACCATATTAATATCAATAGAATTAGAAACAGTGCAGTAAAAATCGAATGGCAGAGTCTAGCGCCACGCTTAGGACACGGAAGGAGGAGAAACAACCGTATTCTGCTGCCATAATGCACGTTCGGGCACCGACCAGGATGCCCCGCTCCCACCCGCTATTTTAATACTACCAAACAGCACCGATATACGGTGTACCAGTAATCGTGTAGCCTGACACAACCTAAAGACTCACGGAAAGGAAGGTAAAGTCTCAGGTCTCTACGGAATTTCTATGAGCTAAATGCTTGAAGAGGCTTGGGGCTAGCAGCAATGACCTATGACTTAACAGAAGTTCCTAAATCTCAAGGGTAGGTTATATCATTAGAACAAACTCTCACTATTCCCTGACCGACTGAGTCTAACTTACGAACCAATTCTACTTCCCACTGGATATATCTCGAGTATTTATACACCTGACACATTATGATACCATAAACAGCCTATTCCGTCTGGGGCCCACTAATGACCTATCATACAACATTGCGAGGGATAGGGTTTATGCATTATTTTATGCAGTCCCTTGGCGGTCTGCAATTTGGTTCCTTGGCCTCCTCACGAGCGATACTGCTCCTATGATAGCCCAGCACCATCTTACTTTAGTCCCACCCCTTCTGGTTTTCATCAATTCGCCGAGTCCTATTTGAGTAGTGAGTTACCGTACCATTGAATCAGACATATCATTGTCATTGCATCTTCGCGTAACCTCGATCGCCTTGTGGGGCGATAGAGACATCCAATTCCGTGTTTGGCGCTGTGCCGTCTGAGGCAGTGCTAGCTGGTTGATTTCCTCTGATGAGTGACAGAAGATGAAGTCTGGAAAGCTTACATTTTCGGGCTCCAGATACCAACACAGCATCAGACATCACCCTGTTCGGAATGCCTCTCTCGCTATCCATGGGGGTCCCACTGGCTCGCCGTCATAAAGCCATTCAATTAGCCTTTCTTCCCTACCCCGAATAATGCCGCAAGACTAACTACCCCTCAAAAATAAAACAAAAATAAAGTGATATAGGCTCGATGGCAGGTTTGCAGGAACTATGCCGCTAGTGGGACTTCACCCAAGATCTCAGATATGTAGATGCTATAGGGATTTCGCCTTCTAAAGTCTTCAATTAACCTTAATAATCCAGAAAAACTCCTCAATCTAAGTTACCTATAGAGGCAGAGGCGTCTCTCCCGCATGGTCACTCGCCCCAAAACCTAGCCCACCCCCCGCGTAAGCATGTCTACATAGCTATGAGATCGAGCTGCGAAAAAGCTCCCCCAATTCACCTCGCCCCAGGATCAAGATAGACGGGCTACTGTGCCAGAGGCGCCGGGTAGAGTTATGATGAGTATTAATGTAAAAATCTTGGAGTTCGCTACCAGATTATCAGCAGAAATCCCGCACCAGCACTCTATAGGTTTAGTTTGACAGGTCAACAGAATAGCGAATATGATATCATACCAGTCAATGAGGTCCAAAGGGCTCGGGCTATATGGTGTCAGGAAAGCACTAATCTTCCTTGGGAACCTTTTCCTCTAAATATAGAGACTAGCTTAGTGGCTGGCCGGAGATATCATCTTCGTAAGAGTTCCTATCATAGTACTTCCTACTGCACGCTACCGGTCCTTTGTAGCTGAAGATGTCACGGGAAAGCATAAAACACCGGTCACTCAAAAACCACCTCCCCTTCTTGAATTGATACCAACGCACTTCCTATGAGGCCCACTCACACCCAATGCTTACCAGCACAACCCTCACCCCTCACTCTACCAAAAACCTAAGTTTCTCGAGTTCGGAGTTCGGCATAAATCTAACATAAATTTACCGGCACCCACCCACACATTCATATAGTATCGTATCATACCTACAGTTGCCTCGACTCTAGGATTCAATGGCACCCCACAGTTGCACGCAGGCGTGGTGTGCTGTCCTGTTCGTCGTGTAAACTTTGGAAGAAAACCCTCTAACTAGTAGTGGGTTCCCTCTTATTTCGCTTCCTCATAATAACATCTCCATGTACGAGTATACCACGCAAGTGTTAGTCAGGATGGTCCTTTCATTTGAATACGAATTCTCCTTGTTGGAAATTACGTTATTCCTTTGCTATCCTGTGATGGGGCTGTGTTGGTCATGTGACGCAGCCACATGACCAAGTATATAGGCTATTGTATTCTAGCATCTTCTAGAGATTTCCTTGGTGTGAGGCAGTGCTCGTGTAATGATAAAGGTGTATATAAAGGGCAGGTTCAGCCCTGTTCTTAGAGAGAACATGCAAGCTTGGATTAATCTTTAAGTCTTCAGATTTTATTGTAGTCATTATTGTTACTTCGTTATCACAATAGTTAGTACAATAGATATACAAATATTCTCAGGTTATGAGCTCGGATTTGTAAGATACTTTCACATTCCCACCATAAACCAGAAGCCCTCTGAAGCACTCTAAGTGAATGCATCACTGTCTTCCATCCTCAACCAATCCTCTATTACATCGTGGCGAAAGATTTCTTTTATGATGCACACGAGTGCCTACCTACCCCCTCTAAACACAGCCTTTACCACTGTAAAGGCTGCAACCACATCTGATCGCTAGACTTCGATAATTTGGTTCCTATATACTGCGAATATTACTACGAAAATATCTGAGATTATATATTAGATTATTTCAAGGATATAAATCAATACAAGTAACTTCCTGACACAAGACAAAAGAACTAAATGGTCTATATCACAATGTTATTCGAAAACGACATAAAATCTGACTTTAGCATTTCTGTCAAGGACTACTCCAAATTCCATAGTTAAGAAAATTATCAAATCTGGGCTAACACCTGGGAGATAGTCTTTAAAGTCCTGGATTTACAGGATGTAGTATCAGGCGAATCTGTGAATCCAGAACCTCCTTCCAAAGGTAGTACAACAACTTAGACTACGTGAGTCAAGGAATGGACAAGGAAAGACAAAAAAGCAAAGTTCTTCCTATACCAAGCTATTGACACTACCTTCCATGCCAATATCTTTGCCAACACAACCTCCAAAGGTGTTTGACAAGCCTTCAAAAATAGATTCGACAAAGAAACCCTTGCAACCAATATGACCGGTTGAGAACAAGCATCCCTCTTATTTTGCCGTGACTCATGGTTACCCAA